TTAGGAAAATTATCTGTATTTCACAAATACTTTTGTATGTCACAAATATTTTATCATAATAGGGTATATTAGCAAGATTTTGAGTGGCATAAGATAATAATGTAAAGATAACTAGCATTGTGTCTGCAACTGTAGGTCCTTACCTGCTAGTTTCCTTTCCAACCCTAAAGACATTATCTTCAACTAACTGTAGACTAACCGTTCTGGAGCACAGGTTATACTAGTTAAGTTAGTAATTATACGTACTCCCTCCATAGGAGAAAAAACAAAAACAGGAAGAATTGAATAATGGACAATTAATGGTACAACTTTATGTGTTCATTTTAAAGGCGAAATCAATTTGCTCCCATCAAAGTGCATGGTTTGCATACTTTCTTTGCAAGCTAACTCTTTATCCTAATGCTAAATCTATATCAGTGTAATAGTTTAAACTAAATATTATATAGAGAGAGAAATGTACTATTGCTTGCAAAAGAAATGGCAAGGTTCTGGGCTTTTTTATTAAAGGATCGACTGTCTATCGTGCATGTCTGCCAGATACTAGAGTCCCCCTCCTATAAGCTGCGACGTGGCATCTGACCAGCTTCCACCAAGCAGATGAGGACTACTGCCCAGAGAGGGGCAGCCAACAGGCTAGAAGAAACCAGGCTTCTGAGTGAGCTCACAAAACAGATCTCACTCCATCCCTGAGCCACTGTTACACAGCAGAAGGATAACCCTGCGTCTAATTTAAGACACTCTACCTTTGGTCTCTTTTTCTCAACATTGCCTAATGCCGCAGGCATCCCGTATACACAGTGACTCAGGGATGTTGACCGAGATCAACATGGCTAAGTACAGGTCACTGAGGGAATGTTTACAGTCTCCTCTGCACTTTCGTGTGCAAGAGATAAATAAGGCCAGAGGTGAAAGAGATGATCGTGATGGGGAATTGGAACAAATTTTGCATCTTTTGTTTTCTCTTCTTCATAACTTCTCTTTCTCATTTCAACTAGTCTTTTGATCATGTTATTTAATAAACCTCTGTGAATTGTCTTCACAGATTATTTCATTTAATCCTTCCCATAAAACCCTGAATGTGTCTGGTTTGCACAGCCCCCACCTCTCCAGGGACCACTATGCAAAAGGCTCTGCCTTCTTCATTCTGCTGGTTCTGGGCACCAGAGTCTTGGTCCTGGGGTCCGGGGGAATTCAGGAGGTGTGCAAAAGCCTGTATGACAGCAATGAGCATCTTTCTGCACTGGCTGGCACTCCCCCTGTCTTTATTCCTTTTTTCGTTCCTTCCCCATTCATCTCTTGCTGCCCTTCCCATTTGAGAAAAATCTATCTCTCAACTTCCTGTCATCTTGCTCTTATTTTGCTCTTTATTTATAATTTAGATGTCTCATATAAGAGAAACCATACAATATTGAAGCTGGAGTGTCTGATTTATTTCATTTAACATTATGGTCTCAAGGTGCATCCATTTTCCTACAAATGGCTCAAATTTATCCTTCTTTATGGCACAGTACTGCTCCACTGTATGTAAATACCACATTTTCTTTGTTCATTCATCTGTTGATGGACATATAGGCTGCTTAGTTGGGGCTTTTCTAACCAAAGACATTATGGAGACTTCAAATAGATTTGTTAAGGAAGTCTGAACACGTGCTGAAGTAAGTATGCATAATTTATTTTGCATATTTTATAGAATGACCTTGAATTTGTGACCACGTATCAAGGCAAATCTATGAGACACATCTATAATCAACTGGGTCACTTTTAAATATCCTTAAGAACTTTAAAGTACACAGAATGCAGATCTCACAGCAACTCCACAGCTTGTCCCCCTGGACAGGAAGACTGACACACATGTACACAGCGAGAGTCACGATCATGGCATGGCACTTTGTGTTAAGGAATCTGAACTATTTGAAATCATGTGTTTTTAACCTCTAGAAAGTTGACCTATTAGAATAACAGCCCTGAAACTTTCTGCATTTTTGTTTTTGGACTTGGTGTTGGGGATCTTTTGCGATGCTAGAGATTGAACCCAGGGCCCTGTGCAGGCAAAGCAGGCACCTGCCACAGAGCTGCCCCCCCCAGCCTGTGTGCTTTCTAAGAAGGTGTCATCAAGCATCTGATTTAGATTTGCAGTTTGAGGTGAGTCTTACAAAGATTAAGCTTATACGTACATCGGAATCTCTCAGAGAATTAAACTTTTTAAGAATGATTTCAAACCCAAAATATAAATAATTCAAAGAGCAAAATAAAGAGAGACGGTAAGAAATAAGGGGGTAGACTTTTTGGAGATAGCAAGGGGATCTGGGGAAACAGGGAGAGGGGAAAGTGGGAGGGAAAGGCCAGTAAAAGTGATCAAAATACAATATGTATATTCACCAGTTCCCACAAACAAATGTAACTATTCTGCATTGCAGACATGGACTAATAGCAGGGAAAGAGAGACAGAGAGGAAGAAAGGGAAGGAAAAAGAGCAAAAGAAAGAATTATTTCACTGCTTGGAATATTTTATTCAAGGTACCTAAGAGAGAAAATCAAGTACATTAAATTTTAAAATATACTTTAAACTCTTTCAATATGTTTAGCTTGTTAAATTTGTAAATGAGATAACCCAGTGTTATAGTTTGTTAAAATGTGCTAGACTTATAAATGGTACAATACTATTTCAAGCTGATCTTCTGCCCATAATTACTTAGAGTGTTAAATTTCTAACTTTGACAAATTGAATATTAATTTTAAAACTAAAATAAATCCATGAATAGTCTTTTCTACCCACAAAATTGCTCTTGAAGGCAGGGGCATCTGACAGCATGCCCAAAGACCCTAACAGGGTTTGTCTGACCCCGCTTCTCATCACTAAGAATATGGAGACATTGCACCTACCCCACGGCTGTGTGCATCCAGGCTGCTCCGCCTTCGCCTATCCCCGAAGCTGGGCACCAGTGTTCCTGGGTCCCACTAAATCCATGACTACTGGTCCTACCGAGTGCTCCACTGCTGATGGAGGAAGCTTACACCTTCCTTATTAGAGGCTCTATAAGACTGGGCTGCAGGGCTCTGCTTTGATCAGTGCCTTCTCCAAGAGTGACAGGAGAGAGGGATGGGGTGACACCTCCCATAGAACACATCCCACCTGACCACTAATGTGCACCTCTCGGTCGGGGCTTAGACACTGCCCTTTCCCCTGTGGACTACAGGCTGCAGGCTCCCACTTAGCCCCTTTCCTCAAAGGCACCACCCCTCTTTCCACCTGCCTATCTCTCTTCCCCACCGGCTCATCTGTAGTGTCCACTCCCTCCACCCAGCTCCTGCCAGCCTCTCTGCCTGGCTTCCCTTCTTCATGTTCAGCCAGTCTTTTCAAAGGTGATAAAAACTGTTGGCACAGTTCCCTATTCGACATTGTCTAATAAGAATATTTTCTCACCATAAATTCAGACAACTGCTCCAAACTTAGCTGGATCTTTACCCACTCAGAGTATGATTTCTATGAGACAGGAAATGCCTGATAGTCGGAAGTGATGGCCCTCAGAGCAGGCTAGAAAGAACAGGTATGAAGAAGAATTTCACAGAGTCAGGGGCAACCAGGAAGCACCAGAAAGGTTCAGGGCCTAAATAAGATGACTGGGTTGGGACATTGGCTCTGCTACTACTTAGAGCCAAGGAGTCTTTTTGAACCTAAGCCTGAAAGATAAAGATGATGATGATACTGGTGGGTCTTAGAAAGCATGCCTTAGACAATGACAGAGTTACAAAACCACAATGCAAGACATAGAGCCCATCTCATGAACTCTGTGAACAAAAACTAAACCCTTGGGATACGATGCTGTTTCTGCTAATGGACATAGAAGAGAAGTGTTAGCCAATATAAACTCTTCATGTTCAAGGACCCAGACAGACACCCCCAACATCAACCCCACCACCACCGCATGCCAAGGCTTTGGGTTGTGTCCCTGCTAGACTGTGGGAACTCCAGGCGAGACAGAAGCCTTTCGATGTCACCTTCTGGTATGAAGTGCATAGGCACACGGGTGTCTCCGGCAGAGAGCTGTGAGCTCCAGTGTCATCTTCCACACCAAGTGAGCCCACCCAAAGGTCCCTGGGCCACCAGACAGAGTAGACTCCTGGCCACCTGCTCCACCAGCCCATTGCACATGAAAAACACAGCCCTCAGAGGCTGAAGGCTTTTATGTTGTGATGCTATTTTGGCAAAAGCTCTGAAGCCAAATGAACTTCCTCTTTCTGTGAAGCAGGCATAGAGAGCTCAGGGTCCACCATGCTGCTGGCAAAACAACTCCCTACTTGTGGCAGCTCTCAGCACCCTCAGCATGGGCAGAGCCAACAGGCCTTTGGGGATATCTTTGCATGCAGACCAGGAGACAGCACTGGCAACAGGTGTGGGTGTGTGAATGGCCTGGAACATGGGGACTCCTGCCTCGGCCTCTCTGTGAGGAGGTGGCACTGCCAGACCCACACAACCTTCTTCTTTGCAATTTTGGTCTCAGCTGTTTTGTCCTGGCCACAGCTAGTGTCCCCTTAGCCATTTGTCCCTTCTCCTGCATTCTTGAGCAGCCACCGCTCTGCATCTTCATTCTCACATTTCCCCTGTCTGGCCCAACCAGACATCCCTCTACCACAGGCTCATGCCCCAGCCACACTGCAGGGGTCTCTCAGCCCAGTCTGTCCCCTCTTCCCCTGAGAGCACAACATAAACAGCCATCTCATGGCTTTTCCCTGTGATGCAAGTGTTCTCCAACTTCACCCCCTTTCTTCCTCTCCTCTTCTCAGGATAAGGGGTCAAATTCTCCCACTCACCCTATCCTAATCTTGGGCTCTCAGGCCCATTCCACTTACTTCCGTGAGTCTTTGTGGCCCAGTGCTCAGTCTTCTTGCCCTCAGAAGAACAGAGGAGAGGGTTCCTGGCCCAGCCACCCTCAGCAAGGCACAAGTGGGTCACCAGTGCCCACCACCCACACACTGCTCAGCCCGGACACTGTACTCACCCACCACGCTCTTAGAACTGTCATCGGAAGGCCATCACCCCCTAAGCACAGAATCAGCGGGCTCTTCTAGGCTCCATCCTCCTTAATCTGTCTTCACCAACTGCCCTCTGAGTCACCTTTTCCTGCTAGGCTCCCAGGACTCTGTAGTCAGAGAAGTCCTGCGCTCATGCAGACCCTGAGCTTGGTACCAGCACTTCATTCCTCGGCAGTGTGATAGAGTAACAGCACCTGGATGTGATAGCCCTCACTGCTTCTGGTTCCTGCACCAGAGCATGGGGCAGGAGCTGTGCGGAACTTCAGTCTTCATTTTACTATAATCTTCATGATCACCCAGACGAGGCTGCGGTTTTCCAATCTTTGAAGAGAGGAGACTGAGTGAAGAGATTATACAGCTACCTGAGGGCACAACCCTGAGCTCAAATGTAACTCTCTCCTGATCACTTCAGCACTGAGGCACGGCACCACCAGCTGAGGGCATCCAAGACGAGTTGCTATTTCTCCTGGCCTCCTTCTGCCTCACTGACTTCCCAGTTCCCCTTCTCCTCCTGGCCCCTAAATGCAGAAGGGGTAAGTTCTCACCCACCACTCCTAGGCCCCTGAATCAGCACACTGGAGTCCTCTCTTTGCTCCTCAAGCTCAGTCGTGTGCCAAGTCGTACTGATTCCATAGCACGTGAGTATATTCCTCTGTCCTCATGGCCCACAACCAGCCTCCTGTTGGAGTGCTCATCTCCATAACCTGGATGGTTCCCAGTGGTCTCTCTTCTCCCTTCCTGAGTACTTTCTCCTCACAAGATTCAGTTCTCCTAGATATTCATTCTAGGGGACACCAAGACTGAAATGAGTTGGGTATCCCCAATTTCAATAAGGTTATTTCCCATGTTGAACATGCATAAAGTACACTGATACTTGAGAAATATTGAAAACAAGGGAAAATAAATACCAAAACATTTTCTAATAAGCTATTCTGAGGGTCATCATTTTCTCTTAGAAAGTGTAATTTTAACTGATAATTGGGCACAGCTGTTAACTTCTTCTGACTTATCTAAAACTTTACTGGTAAATAATTTTCCCATCTTTGATTTGCTTTTGGGTGTTTTTATTTCACTTTAATTTCTTAAGATATTTTCTCTGGATGTAGAAATATAGATGAGCAATTTTTCTAACAGTTTTGTAAGATACATTGGGTTTAAGCCATTTAAGATGGTTTGCATTATTTCTTACAATACAACAATTATTCTTATCAATTTTGTTGTGGGTAATGTGTTTTGCTCCCCCTCCAGCTTACTTTTTCTCTGTATCACTGGTTTTCAATGTTGACTGGGCTATGGCTTTTTTGTACTTAATCTAGTCATGATAGCTGAACTCCTTAGAACTATGATTTTATTTCTTTAAACAAATTTTGAATATTTTCCATGACCTCTTCTTCACAACTTTTGTTCCCTGATGTTTCTTTATTCTTTCGGGGATTCTAATTATGCATGCACTGTACTGCTCAGTATTGTCCCCAAATCTTTTTCCCCCATCCTTTCTCCCTGCCACCACCACTACCGTCCCTTAGTCTCTATTATCCTGTCTTCAAGTCCACTGATTCTTTTCTATGAAGTTTAATTTGCTGTTAAGCCCATCTGGTAATGTTCATTATAGATATGTTTTAAGTACAACATTTTCCTTTACTCCTTTTTTTCTGTTTCCATATCTCTGTTAGATCCTCTATCTGATCCTTCACTGTGTTTATCTTCTCTTTAAATCTTTGAGTGTAAATGAGATGCATCAGTGTTTCTGTTACTATTGCTGCATAACAAATATCCCCCCAAAATTACCAGATTAGAGCAAACTTTTTATTATGCAGATGAATCTATCATTCTGAAATTTGGCCGGAGCATGAAACAAGAAGGTAGAGGGAGAAACTGAATGGAACTTGGGACTACTGTAGAAGTCTGAGGCTTTAGCTGGCAAAAATTAAAAACTGGGGGTGACTTGATGGCCAGGGTTGGGGTCATCCAGAGGCCTGCACCTTCGCTTGTCTGGGCCTGGTTGAGATCACACAAAGACCAGAACTGCCAATCGGCTGCCTATATGTGGTCTCTACCTAAAGCAAGGGAGCTCAGCATCTTGGGGTTCCCAACACAAGAACTCCAGTGAGCAAGGCAAAAAAGCACTGCCCTTGGGACCCTGCTCCTAAACCATGCAGTGCTGCTTTGGTGGTGCTTCTTTCCCGGTGCCATCCTAAGCACACCCTGTTTCAGGGTTGTGAAGCACAGACCTCCTCGCTCCATGGGAATCTTATCAAAGAACTCGAGTACAATGTTTGAAATAGCAAAATCAGGGATAAAGTCATCACCATAGACATGGTGATAAGGACAGCTCAGAATAAGGTGCTGCCAGCAGAGGTAGAGAAAAGATATGTGCAAAATAAAGCTGGAGGTACTTTCTGATAAAATTGATAGGAAAGAAAAGATGACACCTAGGGTTTTGATTTTTTGGTATTTTTTCTTTTTTTCTCTTTGTACTGGAGTTTGAACCTGAGGCCTTTGGAGTGAGCTAAATCTCCAGCACTTTTTTATTTCTTAATGTTGATAGAAGGGCTTGCAAATTTGCCCAGGCTAAGCTCATACTTGTGATTCTCCTGTCTGAGCCTCCCAGAGTGTTGGGATTACAAGTTTGTGCCACCACACCAAGCTCTAGGCTCTCAGTTTGTGCAGCAGACTGGATGGTGCTATTTACTGTGCTACAGAAAAGAGGGAGAGGACTAGGACTTGTGTGTTGTGTTTTATGGAGAGGACAACTTAAGGTAGGGTTTGAAACTGTTGAAGTGGAAGGTACTTGAAGATATCAGAGCAAAATGCCAAGCAGACAGTTGAGTATATAAACTCAAACATGAGAACTGGAGATAGGAAGATGGAGCAGTTAGTATTTAAGTGGTAATTCCAGCCCCAGACATGATGGGGTTGGAGAATGTAAAGTGAGAAGAAAACAAGATGAACATAAAGCATCATCCACTATTTGCAATCATGGAGAGAAGTGAGTGAGAGGTGGTGGAAGAGCAGAACAGGAGTTCATAGAAAGCCAAGGGCAGCTTTTACCCCATAAGCCAAGGGGAAAGAAGAGTTGGAGATGGAAGAGTGGTGCTAGGATCCAATGCTCGTGAGTGGCTGGATGAGAAGTCTGAGCATCTATCGCAGGCAGGAGATGGTTATCTATCATGAAATTGTTTCTATAGTATTGATGAGAGCATAATGGGAAATGAGGTAGGGAAGAAGGTTGTCTAAAGCAGAATGGGAAGAGACACAAGCCTTTCATTACATGGTCACCTTTGCCTCATCTTCACCCAGTCCTGTGCATGATTTGCAGCTCCCCCTCTTAATTTGCCTTTCCTGGGAAATACACCTCTGTAGATAGATTTGCTATTTCTCAGAAGCCGAACACATGAAGCCTTCCTGTGTTTCCTTTGCTGACCTCACTCTCTACCCACTGTCCCCTGATGTCAGAGTCCACAGCTCTGCTCACAGCCTGTCCTCCCCTGCACTGGCTCCAGGCCTCACCTGCATCTTCCTCATCTGTGGCGTCATGCTTGCTGCATCTGTCCTGTGGAGTCTTCCTCTCCTATGCCTCTACTCCTGGCCCTTTTGAAGAGGACCTAAAGATGCATTTCTGCAGAAGCTAGGAGGCTGGCATCTCCATCATTACACTAAGTCCTCCTCCACTGTCCTAGCCATTATCCTTCTCTGTTTCTAGTTCCCCTTAGCTCTAATTCTGGGGTCATCTGCTTGTTCCCTCCCTACTTCCTCCACACCCCTGATCCGGCCTTTCCTGTGTACACAGGCAGGCCATTTCCTGTTAATCTGTGCCCTGCAGTCTCCACCACCACAGCAATAATCCACATCTGAGGTCACACTTGGTGAAGCTGAGAGCCACACACCAGGTCCCTCACAGTGACCTTCAGAGTCTTCTTCTGCAAGTGCCACCACATCCTCATGTGGCTGGTTGATTAAAATGGAAAGAGGAAGACTAAAGAAATAAAGAATGAATAATAGATTTCAGCTGTTGGCACTTCTGCAGCTGGATGGGTTCCCTGGAGCAGCATGTTGGGAAGGATTCCGAGGCTCCATCCAGTGTGGGTGTTGGAGCTCCCTGCTGCACTGGTGCTACTTGCTATAAACTGGGGAGGAGAACTGGCAAGTGCAAAACTCCATAAAAGCACTGAACTGAAACTGATAGGCCCATGGTTTAACTGCAAATAAAGGCCTGGGGTATTCCACTCAAATCCTAAAAATTCTATGAACAATGATTTTGCTAATGTGTATTTGGAAGTGTATGATTTAATGTTTGCATTTTGTTCCTTTTATATTGCTAATATCCTTTACATATCTATCTATAGTTGGTTTTTTAGAGCTACTTCTGATACATAGAGCTCTTAAAAAGAATATCGAATCCAAAACATTTGAATCTCTAATATATATACACACACACATATATACATCTGATATATATCTCTGATATATATACATATATACATATATAATATGTATTTAATACACACATATTAAAATATTTATGCAAGTTTTCCTTTCCTGATGAATACATTCTTTGGTGGACTGTGTGTGTGTGTGTGGGTGTGTGGGTGTGAAAGAGAAAGGAGGAAAAGGAGAAAGAAAGAAGAGGGATAAAAAGAAAAGGAGGAAGAGAAAAAGAAGAAGGAAGGAGAGGAAAAAGACAAGGAAAAGGAGGGGAGGAGGTTCTTCTGCGATCTGTAACTTAGCAAGATCACTGTGAGGGTCTAACGACGCTAACTCACAGTGATATCACAGACCCAAAATTGGTTTTGAAAACATCCCTCAAGAAGTTCTGAAGATTTGTGGTCAGAGTCAGTGATGCTAACGTCCACTTTCTCACTATGGAGGGAGCACTTCAGTTGCTGTGCCAACGGAACAATAATTACCTCAGACAAACACTGGGTGTCCAAGAAATCACACAGTGACTTCTTGGTTTGACTCACTTGTCTTGGAATAGTTTGTTTATGGAAACTTTCCAATAGATTTCTCAACATATTCTTTGACGACTCTGTAGAGTCCAAGCTACCAGCCCATGAAAGATGTCTCAAAGAGACATACAGAAAAATTTTTTTCTAATAGGAAGACAAAGAAGAGTTTGTTTCCTGGTTAAACTTAGTAATAAGAGCCAAAGCTCGGGAGCACTTGCTTAAGGGCAAATACTAGGCATTGTCTGGCAGGCACTTTTGAGATGAAGAAATTTCAATATAGAAAGGTCAAGTAATTTTCTGAATGTCACAAAGCTCATTAATAATGGAGCTGAGATCCAGAACCCTGCCCCAGAATAATCACATCTGTCTAGCTGGTTACGTGGATTGTCTCAGGTAAGTACTGAAAATACCTGCAACTAGATAGAAACAAAAGATGGGATGACACAGTAGAAGCAGATATTTAGGTAAGAAAGTAAAAAGAGTTCTTAAAAATTGTATCCTCTGAAGGCTGAGATGTGTATTTTAAAAACACACAAAACCAGAATGTGAACAGGAATAAAAGGATAGCTT